ATCAATCAAAGTCATCAATATGCTTGCTTTCACATTATTCGTAGAAATCCCACAATGAGTAAGCCTTGCATGAATATCTTTTGCATTGTTGCCTTGTGTTTGAATTATGTTGTTTATACAACAATACATCATTTTGGCTTTCATCAAGTACCTATGAGATAACCCATTTTCTATCCAACACTTAGCACATAGGTTAGACCTTTAATCATGTTTTCATTCAATCATCCAAAACCCACTAAAGGGCTTGATGCACTTTCATAGGGTGTTGTGCCGACAAGTGCTTGTGCTATCGGACAATCCAAGTGGTATGTCAGATGATCTACCTGTTCAGCAACATGTTGGCTAAGCTTGGCATTCCAACCTTTCCAAGGAGGATGGGTTAGGGTTTGATGTTGATGCTTGCATCTATCACTAGTGACCAGGTCAAGAATTTGGATTCCGACGCTAAGACAATAGAGCAAACTAGACCACCTAGGGTTGGAAAAAAGTGGGTGTCATTCTAGGTGGAATGCTCTGAAGATCGAGATTATACTTTGAGATACATAATAAGGAAGATCAATAACACTTACCCATGGGGATTTAGGGCCGAATTTTACCTCAAGAGGACTTCCTAGTGGGTAATTGGACTTGGGTAATTCACAAGTTGGCCTCTAATAAGTGGAGAACATGGATACATCAAGGAACACGACCCCCATTTTAGATTCAAATGTGTTTAATGGGATTGATTTAGTCCATAATTTGGGCATTCCCGAGGAGGTTAATGTTGCCTTTTTTAGTCATCATCCATTATTACTCAGAAACATGCATGCAACTAGTGCTTCTCTACCACTCTCACGTAAGGCAATTTGGCATTAGTAAAATAAATTGGAGAGATTATCTCAAGTTGTGTCATGTGACAGAGCTCTATGTGACTAAGAAGGAAAGTTTTTATTCCCATATGTTTGGTATGTAGGATGATGATTTTCTTGTGTTGTCTCTTGTATCAGAATGGTTAAACCTTTGGTGTTCATAATCTTAGGGCCTAGCTTCAATCGATCTCCAGTGTTCTAGTCTTCTAGAGACTTCCATGCTATGTGCCTAAGTAACTTTCCTTCACCAAAACATGCTGCCCCTTCACATTCTCTCACTCCTTGCAACAGTGTAGCTGCAAGAAAACCCCAATCATCTATGATGTAGACATGTCCCGATCTTTCAATAGGTATGGTAACTTTGTTTGGTGGATAACTCGATGTTTGATGGGATCTAGATGGCTAGAGGGAGCTGAATAGCCGATAAAAATTTTCCTACAAACTTCACAAACACTAATGCAAAGGGATTAGTACAATAACAAATCCTAATAGCCTCTACTTGCACTAGCACTACTCTCACCTAAGAAAGCCTCCTACTCAATTCTAGTAGCACTTTGTTTTCTAATTCTAGTCATAAATGCATATGTATTCCGTTTTTGACGTTCTACCCATGCCTGGAAAGGTAAGGGGTAACCTTTCCAATGGCACAGTCTTCACATCAAAGTTCATTCAAAGTCAATGGAAATCATCAAAACAAATTGACCTCCAGAATTTGTCAGGGTGCTAATGCACCGTCTTTTGTTCCATTGGGTCGTGTATCATCTTTTGACCCAATGCATGCTATAAAGATCTTGTAATCAGTAGCTACCCTTGATGTTAGGGTTTTGGTATTGCTTAGATTAATATGTTATCAAATAGTCTTACCGTTCATTGCTTTGTGAGGCCCCAACTTGTGAGTTTAATCTTATTTGTAATATTAGATTGCGTTCTTTTGAGTCCTTGCTTGTGTTGTCTGATTCGCAGGTAAGGATTAGCTTTCTCAGTGAGGTCAACCGAGTAGTGACATAGTTGATAACCAGATAAGACATGATGCTATGGTTGTAGGGTTTGGGTCTTGTAATCTAAAGCTAGATCGATATGCCAAGTCTCTGCTAAATCGATAGTTATCACCGCCTAATAGAATATCATGTCCCATTCCCATCACCTTCTTACCGTGAAGGATGCAAATGCAGCAAGTTATCCTCGCCCAATTGTGTGAGTACTAGTAGTCCACCCTCGAGCCTGTAATGATGAAATTTGCCATTGTGACCTTTGATCCGGTGCTAGGTAATCAAGTATAGTTTCTTGTTATCAGAGACATCGCCATGAATTCCTAGTAGAGATTAGGGATATTAATCCCTATCACCTTGGTCGGGCCTATATATGGTTTAAGTTTGTTCATGGTTAACATATAATCTTATTAATAATGGAGAATACCAGTTTGGGGATACACATATGTCACATCTTAATTTTTTTGTTTTAGGATGTAAATAGAAAGCACAAATAAAAGAAATGATTTAATATTTTCCTAAAATTCTCTAAAGCTTTAATTAGTTTCTTATCAATTTTGACAAATAAAAATGGTTTATGAAAGTTTATATGTCAATTTTCCTAGGGATGTTACATTGATGCTAGTTGCATTAATTTATTTGAGTGAAAACATGAATTTATATTTCTATTAAGCCTCGAATAGGTTTTATTTAATTTAGAAAAATAAAGTTTCAGAAGCTTGTTTGAAAAATTAGTTTGAAAAAATTGTTCAAGTTTTAGTTCAAAATTCCTTAAAAATATTTTTAGAATTAATGATAAAGTAGTTTTTAGTGGTTTAAAATTCCAAAAATGTTTTAAAAACATATTAAAAAATATTAATAATGTTTCAAAATTAAGTTCCAAAAAGAATTAGAAATAGTTTGTATTATTTCTTAAAATAGCTTTAAAATAATTTTTAAAAGGTTTTCTCAAATATAGTTTACAATGGTTTGCAAAATAAGGTTTAAAAAGGCTTTAACACATATTTAAAACCTATTTTGCTACATTTAGGAAATGTCAAAACCTGTCTTGGGCCGAAACAACCTCCAAAGCCCAACACGATTTTTCTTTATTTTCTTCTTTTCTATTTAAACCAATTTAGCCCATTCATCTATTCTTCCTACGACCCCTAAAAATTCTATTCTTCCTAGGGTGGCCTACCATCCTATCCATTTATTATTTTTATCTTTTGTTTGGAGCAACCAATATTATTGTTGGGGAAAAGTCCTTTTTACCCCCTCATCTACAAAACTAGTGTTTTCGATCCCCTAACTTTTAAAACTGTTTATTTTTACACCTTGGCTAGTTTTGATAATGGTTTTTTTGTTGATGTGGCACGAGGGGTAAATCGGACTAAGTTGAAAGTTGAGGAGGTAAATCAAAACAGAAATATTTTCTAAAAAATAAAATATTCTTAGACTTTTTTCAAAAGTTTATCGAAATGTTTTTACATGGGAAAATAATGCATTTAAAAATCCTATAATTTGGTTTAATCTTAGAAAATTTGTTTAAGCTAGGAAAATTATGAAACTAGTTTTAATTTTTTTTCTTCTAAAGTCATGCCCTATGTTATGGTATATATATCTTGAAACTGTTTAAATTTTGCAGGACTCATTTTGGTTCTTATTTTCTAGTAGAAGTTGTTATTATCTATGATAATTAGTCATTATTGATTGTCCGTGCTATGTAGAAGTGCTAGTGGAGTGTCGTTAGGATCATAATTGGCGCCGGTCCCCTACCTTGGATAATTTTTTAAAGTAGTTGTGTTAGCTTGTTTGGTTAGATGCATGCACCCCCTGCCTTGAATAAAGTTTTAAAGTAGCTGTATTAGCCTACGTGGTTGCGTGCACCCTGCCACACATATGCATTATTTTTCTATGTAAAAATATTTTAGGAAAAAAAATCTCAGTCTCTCTCTCTCTTTCCTCAGTGCTGGTTTTTTACAGCTAGTGCTGAGGGAGCTAGTGCTGGAGCATGATTGTAGAGGAAAATCTGAAACTGGTTTCATAAATTTTCAAGCTAAATAGTTTTTTCTATAAATTTTCTAAGATTAAATCAGATTTTAGGATTTTAGTTCTATTATTTTTCCATGCAAAATATTCAGATGTTTTTTGTTTTTTATATTTTTTAAAATATTTATGGTCCGATTTAACTCCCTAAAATTTTAACTTAGTTTAATTTACTCATTTTAACATGGCGCCACATCAGCAAATCTACTATCAAAACCATTTAACATCATATCCAAGAGTATCCTAAATTTTCCTCCCAAATCGCCCACATTTTCCAACTCCTAAAAATGTATTGGGAGAAAAAAAGAAGGCCATCTCCAACCCTAAAATACATAAGACAATTTTACATCAGGAATCCTATACTATTTCTAAATTATTTTAACCAATTTTATATATTATTTCTCTCTTGTACATTTGCATGTAGAACCCTTTCGTACTATTTATTCTTTTTTCGCCCTTCCACCTTTAATTGGCCGATGAATACGCGTGTATCCGTGCGACCGCAACTCTGTGCAAAGTTACACGCGATGGGGGAGGATTTTTCAAGTACGTGAATTTTTTAGGAAGGATTAGGAGTTGTTGGAGATTGATTTTTTCTCATCTTGCTAAAAACCAAGGATTATGAAGGGAAATAGGATGCTCTTCGAGATGCTTGCAAAAGGGGTAAATCAGATGACCACGAATGTTGAGTTTAGATTTTAGAAGCATTTTTTCCCTTATTGTCGGATGGAAGCCGGAGAATGGTAACACTTGGCTTGAGTGCCTACTATACTCCCTCCATACCTAGATTAGTTGTCGTTATGGGCTCTAGGCCCGTTTTCACAAAGAGTGTCGCTGTTGCAGTATGCGGTTGATGCTTGACGCGTTTGCCACTGGCCAAGCCACCCGTTGCGCTGCGCGTCTGTTCCGCTGCCGCATTCAACACACGTGTGCTCTCCTCATTCGTCGCCCGCATTCATCGCTCGCACACGCGCCTCCCGTGACTCCCTTCTTCTCCACAGCCGCTGCATGCTCTCCCACAGCAAGCTCGCCTCCTTCATCTCCCTCAGGATGCTCACCGTTGGACGTCGTGGTGCAGGACGTCTCGTCAGACTCCATTGCGCCGCAGGATGTCGAGCCGCTGGACAAAGTCAAGATGGCGCCACAGGAGGTGCCGGACTCCGTTGCGCTGGACACCATCGAGGCTCTGGACTCCGTCGATGAGGTGCCAGACTCCATCGAGGTGGTGCAGTGTCCTCGCTGCGGCACGTTCCACGTTGGCGGCGTCTTCGGCGAAGCCTGCTTCCAAGCTTGCCGCGAAGCTCGCAGGTGTGCCCGTTGTGGCCTTTTACATGAAGACTACGATATGCCAGCAAGGTGGTTGCATAAGATGGAAAAGTTTAATTACGAGGTCTACATTCCCGATGTGGACAAACTTCAAATGAATGGTAACACAATACTTCTTCCTGAGCACGTTGTCAAGAAGTTGGAGGAGAACTTCAATACAAAGAAGTTGGAAGAAGCAAAGATGAAGCAACAGTGCCATGCAAGAGTGGACGACGGCATACAAGATCACTAAGGTGCACAAGCTAACATACATGCATAAAATAATTTGTTCATACAATTTGGTGCAAAAGCTAACTTGCTTCTTCTAACGGTTTCATGCAGGAAGACTAGCAAGTGCTTCAGCTAGCAAGGAAGCTTCACAAGACATTTGCAATGGCAGCCGATCTTCTCTCTCTAGTCTCTGTTTTTGCATGTGAGGAATCTTGATCTTGTTGCATCCTTTTATCTTCATGGCTTCCTTTAAAACACTTTGTAGTGTCACAAAGATCCTATTTGCTTTGCGTAGTGAGTACTCTAGGAATGCCTACAGAAACATGTGTTCAAGAAATGAATCAATGAGTACTCCATTTAGTAGTTTAAGAAACAATGTAACAAGTGAACATGTTATCAATTTACCTGTTGCACGGCTAGAACTAAATCTTTAATTGTTTTTGCATCCTTCTTGTACTGAATAGCTTGAATAGCACGAAAAAACCCCAAGTCTAGAATGTTGAAATCCGGAGAATTGGGTGGTTGACAAATAAGCCGAATGTCAAACCCATCTTGCTTAGCAGCCTCACAAAAAATAGGATCATCCACTTTTAAATGAGAAGGTGCATTATCTTGTTGTATGAAAATTGGCTTGTTCACATCTTCTCTTAGCCATTTGGTCCGAATGACAAGCAACACTTGATTTAGCATGAAATCTCTAATCACATCCCTTGTGATTGAAGTTATTGGCTTGATAACTTCTTCACCACGAAGACGGTTATGACTTCTTCTAATAGCTTGTTCATAAGTGACAAGTGGAAAACAACCGATTTTCCCATCAAAAATACATTCTCCATTTCTAAATCTTGGCCGAGCACAAACACACAAAAACATGATCCTAGGAATGTAATTCTTGTTCTTGCAAGTGCGATGTGGTTCATCTTCCATGGGTAGCAAGTAGTAGTTCTCAGATTTTTGAGAGAGGTAGAACCATTTCTCATCAATGAACACAAAGTCAAAATAATCCTTAAACTTTGGATCACCAACCAAACCATACTCAATCATGTCAATGCACCACTTCAACCTAGTCTTTTTGTTAGCATCAGTGAGGTAAGATTTAGAAATGGAGACTAGGTTGAAGTGGTGCATTGACATTCATAGTAATAATTAGCCACGGCATGTTGTAGCTATAGGAATAAAACAAGCACATTCATACAATACTTAGCCACGGCATGTACTAGCTATAGGAAAAAAAACTTACCGGGCAGGTTTTGTACATAATCAAAATCAACCGCACCAAACTCGTCTAGTGGCAAGTTCAAATCAAATGCTGTCCAAAAAAGCAGAAAGAAAATGAGAAACAAAACTACACGTTGTTGCTTTGAATATCAAAAAAAACAAACAAACTGAGTACATTACCATATGTGGTGTGATCCTCCAATATTGCCTCATTGAGATCGAATGAAAGATTGTCGTCGTCATCTTCTTCTAAACGAATGTTCAAATCGAATGGATTAGCCATTGCAGTACATGGAAAGAGAAGAAGTGGAGAAGGAAAGAGTGGAGCACGGCACGGATGGAAATAGAAGAGGTTGAGATGGAAAGGATGAAGCACCGGTTAAATAGGAAGGGGTAGATGGACAGACGCCTAGAGAAAACGAGAGCGCGCACGGTGCCATCCAACGAAAAAAAAGCGACAAAGAACGAAACGAGTAGGCAAGCCATTCAAACAAACGAAAAAAAGCGCACACGCGATGAGCAAAGCACGCCGCCCACACCCGACCCAGCGAGCGCCATGCAAGCAAGCCCCAGCACAGTGCCATGCAAAATGTCTTACGGCCATCATAAAAAAAGCACGCCTACGGGGACTTGAACCGTCGACCTCCAACCTCAGGCCACAGCGGACTAGCCACTCGAGCTACACAAGATCGTTGTAAAGGTGACACCTGCAGCGCTATTTAATAAGGGCAAAGGAGAAAAAATACTCCCTAATTAATCACTCCTTGGTAAGCACGATCATGTCCTAAACGATAACTAATTCAGGTATGGAAGGAGTACATTGACTAGTTAAAAAACTGACAGTGAACTTGGTTTGAGGAGCCATAGTGCTGGGCTGTTGTGTAGTAGTCTAACAAAAGTGAAGCAAAGCATATATCAACAACCAAAATGCGGTTAAGCCGCCAATATTTGAACCTCCAAGTGCGTAGCACTGCCAAATAAAACCCGTGACAAAAGCTAGGGTAGGGGGCAAACAAAAGAAGAAAACGACCAAAGATACCTCATCAAGAAATGAGCCAAGCTAGTTATATATAACAGTGGGCGGCTGCAATCCATTCGGCCTCCGTCGCTGCCGCGGACGCGCAGCCGGCAGCAGCAACCAGCAACAGCAACGGCGTCGCGCTGCCCCCACACGGCCACACCACCGCAGCGAAAAGCAGCCTGCCTCCTTCCTTTCTCTCCTTCGCCCACCTCCCCGCTCCCCTGTCCTCTCCGTTCCTCTCTCTCGCGCACTTCTTCCTCCACTCCACTCCACTCCACAAACACAAACACCCACCCACCCACCTGGCCGCCCGGGGCGCCCCACACCCCCCTGGCCTTGATGACTACTGCGCCCAACATCGAGATGATCGCCTCCTCGCTGCGCCACTGCTCCCTCAACGGCGGTGCCGGCGCCAGCGCTGGCGGAGGGAGCGGGTGGCGCCGGGGAGGCACCAGGCGCCGCGGCAGCGCCGAGGGCGGCGACGACAGCCAGGGCGTCACCGTCGAGCTCAACTCCGAAGTCGCGCTGCCGTACCACTGGGAGCAGTGCCTCGACATCCGGGTACGTCCGTTGCTGCATATCGTACCCTGGCTACGGGTTCCTTCATGGAACATCACGCTCACGGCTCGCGGCTGAACGCCGGTAGCGCACGCGGGTTATTTGATTTCCCAATCATTTGGCCATAAATGGCCAACGGTCTCCGAGTCCGAGGTAGGTGGATGCCGGCGACCGGCGCGTTTCAGGAAGTGGATGGATCAATCATTCACTCATTAATGGCGAAAGTGGCGAGCACCGAGCAGACTTGCCGGATGGGGATAGGGATTTTTCCATTCATTAACTCGCTTCCACCGGCCTGTCCCCCTCTTTTGTTCTCTTGCTCTTGGATTCTTGTCTTGCGCCTCCTGGACGCGGTTCAGATTAGCTTTGTTCTTCCTTCCCTGTGTTGGGAATTCTTTGGATTGTTTGGCTTTGGCCCGGGATTTCTTGATTGCTTTCTTCTCCTTTGATTGATCTCCCTGTTTCCTTCCATTTCTGGATCTGAAACAGAGAGAGAAGAAGAAGAAAAACAACAGCAAACCTGTCTTTCATCTTGGCTCGTTCGAGCTCAGAAGACTCACTCTTGTTCCATTCCATCTGCTTGTTCTGTTATACCAATTTCATATCGGGGGGATGTGATTAAGGCGAGTTCAGATCTGCTTGTCTTCTCAATCCTGACACATCCCGGCCTTTTTTATTAAATCTGTCTCTATCTGGAACTCGAGATTTCGCCGCGGATTTCTTCTGGACCACAGCGTTCTGCACTCTGTTGTTGGTCCTGGGCCGTAATCACCCAGCCTAATCACCTGCTCTGTTCATGCTAGCGCGTGTTCCCCCACTGCAGATGCAGAGAGATCTTTGAGTTGGAGCCCATGCCTTGCTTCGAGTTTTCTAACTATCTGACCCACACCCACTTTATTCTGAACCTGTAAGCACATCATCGTCGTAATTATTATTAACTGAAAAGGCCTGTGATACGCAACTGAAGCTGTTCCCCCGTTTACTTTCGTCCTAGAACCAATGCAAGTTGCATTGTTTGCATCTGATTCTCTCCAGCAAGAAATTCAGAGAACCCAAGCAAAAGGCAGCATCTTTTTTTTTAAACACACAACACATCATCATAGGCGAAAAGTCTTTCCATCGGCAAGGCTTTTCTTGCTGAAAAGCTCCTTTCCATGATTCCATCGCAGACAGAGACGGTGTTCGTGAAGGGAAGGCGTGTGTGGTCATGGTGGCGTTTCCTCCTTTCCAGCCCTGCCCGGGCTCCCTTCCTGCAACCTGTTCCCCGATACCTGCATAGTGCCCCCCCCAAAAAAAACATGCCACTACTAGTTTGTGTACAGTACGTAGATGGCATTTCTTTGATGCAGAGTTTTGGTCACTGATAATATACGTATATAAGCATCTGAATCTGCATTAGTTGCTCTTGCAGACTGCCCAAGTATGTACAGTACTTTTTGCAGATTTTTTCTAGGAGTGGTCTACGTGCAAATAGATACTATATATAGCGTTCTCGATCATCGATTTGTAATGTAATCTAATCTAATAGTTGGTGTATTGCATTTTGTGAGCTAATTTCCGTGCAGACGGGGCAAGTGTACTACATCAACTGGGAGGACGGCACCCGAACGACGGTGGACCCGCGCACGACGTCGGCCTTCTCCTCGCCGACGCCGCGCTCCACGTCGTCGGCGTCTCGGCGCACCCGCCGCGCGTCCACACCGTCGTCGGGGTACACCTCCGTGTCGTCGTCCGTGGGCGCGGACGTCACCGGCACGTGGCGGGGCGCCGCCGGCAACGACAGCGGCTACGACAACGACGATGAGGAAGAGGACGGGGACGAGGAGGACGACGATGAGGAGGACGAGGCCGAGAGCAGCAGCACCACCAGCAGCAGCTCCAGCAGCACGGGCAGCAGCCGGGGGTCGGCCGTCTCGTCCACGCTCTCGTCCTTCTCGCCCACCGACGAGTCCGGCTCCGGCGACAACGGCGGCCGAGGCCTTGGCGGCGCCGGGCACGTGCTCGTGGCGGCTGGGTGCCGCGCCTGCTTCATGTACTTCATGGTGCCGAAGCGCGCCGACGTGTGCCCCAAGTGCGGCAGCTCCGGCCTCCTGCACCTCAGCCGCAACGGCTACGCCTGAGATCGCCGTAGTTCGCTTCGCTAATTGTAGGGGGGGACCTCTCCGCCTGTCGCGCAGGCAGTCGTGCAAGCAACCTCTGTTGGCTTGACCATCTAGAGATCTTCTTCCATAAAAACTAGGAGTACTACGAGTTTTTGTTGCAGAGAGAGAGAGAGAGAGGAGGAGAGAGGTCCCCAAACCCAATCTTTTGCCATTCATTTCCTGCTACATTGTACGCCAATTGCCAATGTATGGGAGCAGAGAGGAACCATTCCTTGATTTCTTTTTCTTTCTTTCTTTCTTTCATTCCCTCCTGTATTTTCCTTCCCTGGATGTCACTGTTTTCCCTCTACGTTTCTGCTTGTGTAATTCAGCCAGCTAGGTAGAGAGATCAGGCTAACCCTTTTTCTTTATTTGCGTTATATTTGTTCTTATTATTAGTTGGCCCTCATCAAGAATAACCACTTGTATTTGTGCCTCAATTTAGTTAGGCATTGGCATATGTATGTCTGGGAGGATTGATTATCTCTATATATATGCTCTTGCCTTGGTGGTGGCATGTACTACACCAGCATTTTTATGAATGTGCAAGTATGATCCAGGGACGCGTGGCGTACAAGTTTCCCAACCACTGGTGTCTGGTGGGCCGGGCTGCTTGTTTTCTGGCGGTGCAATATTCTTTTGGTGTGTGTCTTGGAAGCGAGTGCATGTACATGTAGTAGAATACAGACGATGCGCCTGGGCTGGCCCTGGCCGGGCCTGCTGTTGCATTGCTGGCTTGCTTGCTGCTACTGTACGCTCTCTGTCTCATCAGCTCAGCTCAGCTCAGCCTCAGTAGTGCTCAGAGCAGCTCCACTCCGGTCCGGTTCTAGCATAGCTAGCTTGTTGACGCCGGCCCTGCCTGCGCCTGTCATGCCGTGCATGTTCCTGCCAACCAAAAATTCCTCGCTTGTGAGGGGAGAGACATACTCCCTAGATATGCTTAGATAGATTCTTCATAGTATATATTTTAATCGTGTAGTGTAGGAGTAGAAGTATTGCGTATGGGAATGCAGTGACCCAGCGAGTGAGATCACAGATGAGGTGCAGCCGTGCAGGCAGAGCTGGTCCACGTGCAGCGTCTGTGCTGGCGTGCTATGCTCTCGTCAGTGGAACTGGAATGTTTGTCTTGTATTATACGTACAAACCATAGTACTGTACTATCCTTCGTTCAAAACTGGCACACTACTTATATTATACGTATTAATTACTCTTGTGGTTATCGACACTTAGAATCTACTCACTCCCTTCTCAAAAACTGAAATTCGTTTCTTGACAAATCAAATAATCACAAATAAAGTTAAATATATATTAAAAACACTAATATTTATGATCCGTAATAAGTGTTATTACCTCTGTTCCCTTTTATAAAACACACACATATATCAAAATTCAAACTTTAAAAAAATTTAAGTAATGACTTCGGTACGGATGGTTGTATTTTATCCACCTGCACCGCCACTACCCACGCTTGCCTCCCCTCACGCGCCCTCTCCCTCTCCCTCTCTCTCTCTCTCTCTCTCTCTCTCTCTCCTGGCGACCGACGAGCTCCTCCCCAGGGGCGTCCTCCCCGTGCCCGCGCTGAGCTCGCTGGCCATGGCGGATCTGGCCCCGACCATGGCGGATCCGACGAGGTAAGCCTTCTCCTTCTCCTCCTCCTCCTCCTCCTCCTCCTCCTCCTCCTCCTGCGTTAGGGTTCCTGCGAGCCTCTCCCTTCTTCCCAAACTCCGGCGGCATTAGAAGGAAAGGGGGTTTGGGGAGGAAGGCTGGCCAGGCGATGGGGAGGCCGGCAGGCAGTTTAGGGGCCCTGGCGGAAGTGGAGGCGGCCAGGCCAGGGGGGGGGGAAGAAGGTGGCCGCGGCCATGGAGCTCCGACAAAACCCTAATCGTCGCGGCGGGGGCGAGGGGCGCCGGAGAGGGAGAAGCAACTAGGAGGAGGAAGCACTGCGGGAGGAGGAAGAACAGTAGCATTGTTGCTATAAATGGCATGGCCATGCGATCTGTCTGTATTAGGGCCGGCTGTAATATAGCTGCGTCCAAATTTTAATAGTGTGGCTAAGTTTTTTTAACTGTTATAATATAAACTTGATGTGGTTAGATTTGTAAGCGATTCTATTATCTAATAATCTTGAATTTATGATTATAACTAATACAATATAAAGTAAATAAATGGTCAAAATATAATTTAGAAGAGCGTGTCACTCAAAACCGCACCTTTAAAATGGACCAGAGGGAGCACTAGATTAATCTTGTAGTATGTTTTATAATAAATCTATTTAAAGATTATAAATGTCAATATATATCCTATATCTAATTAATTAAATTAGAGTTGTTTAACTTCTTAGTAAGTGAGTTTTTTTTTCTTTTTTTTAGGACGGAGTTTTGTAGTTCGTATGCTATTTTTTTATTCTTCAACAAATGTTTGCAGGCATTGGGTTTAGTGTGGTGTACCGGGAGTGATAATATATAATAATAGTGGCACAAGGGCTGTGTCAATTAGGATATGATAAAATCAGCAACTTGCAAAGTGGATTATTCTTTACACCCTTGCTTTTATTTAATTTTATTCGGCAAGTTCTAGGAGGAGCACTTGTTCTTTTCTTAATCTTTCGTCATGGTGTGTTGAAGCATTATCCAGTCTTTGAAACCTAAAAAATGAGATAGAGGCTGGCACTACTATAACACTAGCTATGAAAACTCCGAATTATTAGTACTAGATAGCTAGCATTCTGTAAAGGCTCCTCTATTTTATTTTAAGAAAAAGAAATGGGGAGAAGAGAAGTGTGGTTTGGAATGAAGGAGACAGGTCCTCCATACATGACAAACGCGGTTAAACTACAGACAAGTCTGAAACCATACGAACCAGCAAACAAACGCACCAAACAAAAGAGGTATGCTTTTGAGAGGCCTGTGCCGTCCACAGCAAAGTACAACTAAACAAGGAGTAACTAAGTAGGTAGGAGATTCTTCACCACTCTATACTAATACTACTAAGGGGTGTTTGGATCACCTAAACTAAACTTTAGTCCTAGTTTTGAATGCCAAATAGAAACACTAAATATAAATTAATTATAGATTAATAAAAACTAATAGAGGCTAATTGATGTCTAGAACTCATTAGAAAGAAATTGACTAGTTTATATTTAGCTTATTATCCCATGACACACTAAATTTTAGTCCGATCATCTAAACACGCCCTAACCTTCTTGTCTCTTCGATATTCTTTCTTTCGCATATATACTTTTAATTCCTGTTTGATAGGATTTGTTTCACTAGACTTCATCTAAGAAGCTAGAGAAGTCAGAAACCATCACTGGTAGAGAACAAAGCTTTACTCCCGGTGGGGAACCCTCTCAAGTCCCGGTTCCCCACCCGGGAGCAAGCATCCGGGACTAAAGGGGTCCTTTAGTCCCGGGTCAGGAACCGAGATTAAAGGAGGACCTTTAGTCCCGGTGGGTAACACCAACCGGGGCTAAAGGTGCCTCCTGACATGCCACGATGGTCGGCATCTTTAGTCCCGGTTGGTAATACGAATCAGGACTAAAGGTTTTTTTTTTTTTTTTCTTTTCTTTTCATTTTTTTTTTTCTTTTCAAAATAGGTTTTCGAAGTCGTATTGTACGCTGCTAATTATACATTTATACGCGCGTATAGTATGTTTCGGTTCAAGCACAATGAACGTATTAAATCACACAATTCAAGCATATATATATATATATATTTACATGCATGCATGCATATGTATATTTTACATTATATTATTTCATGTGCATATATTACAAAAGATTGCATTATAGTTGTTGTGATATAACAAGTTTCCTCTCATCCTCTAGCTTGGCTTCCATGGCAGTGTTGGGTCGAAGTAGAACTCGCCCTTGGAATCAATGACCTGCTCATTAAAAAATCCGACTATAGACTGTTGAATTGCTTTGATTTAGTCTTGCCGTATGACCTTTTCCTCCAACCATCGAGCCTACAGGTTTGAATTAAAGGAAAATAAATTAATATATGTACATATATATATAAAGACATAGTAACACAATCAATAATAATAATTAAATGAATATATAGTGTATTTTTAACGTATTTTGAGTCTCTCTGTAGGAGTTCTTTGGAAGACCACCTTGATAAACTTGCAAACATAGTAACTACAGTAGTTGTTCCCCTGTTCCTGCCTTAGACACCACTTTACAAGAAAAAGATTTGTCATCCAATCTGGTGATTCGGTGAAAGCTATATGTTTAATTAATAAAGATGATGCGATTTAGGGGACTTACTTTTAAAGGGATTACATTTAGTGGCGCTTTGCATTTTTCCATGTGTTGCTTCTCAATAAAGGTTTTCCAAACACTGCCCAATAAAAAAATTGCCACGTCATCAGATATAGTTAATCATCATGTTTGTGTGTATATATAGTTGCTAGAGATACCGAAATTACCTCTAGATAATATCTATCATATCTTGGTAGTCTTGTTGTGGTTTTCTCATCGAGTCATAGATTATCAAGTGACTTTTCACCAGATCGATGTTCATCAATATCCGGTGATTGTTGCATGTGTTTATAGGATATAACGCATAACACTCATTAATTAACTAGAATCAACATATGAGCCATTAAGGATGATCGACATTATTAACACTCACTTGAAGTTGTAGGAAAGAGTATATCCTTCTTGTATGTTGGTTCACTAAGAAGTTCATGAGGTTACTCTCCACTCGCATTTCCAATTAGTCTTTGGAGTAACTGGGTTTTTGAATACTATATGGGGATCAACAAAACCAATTTCATTGCACCTACCTTTTGAGCTCATCATTGTAAATCTGCATATATATAGTACTTGTTAGGATAATTTATATGCATATACACACATATGATGAGTTTAATAATAGATCGAAAGAATTATTACTTACGGAGGCAATAGCGACTAATGATAACTTTGTCCGAGAGGTCAAGTGGCATAGTTGATGAAATTACGCAAAGTCAA